GATGGTAAACTCTTAACCAAGGTATTGAGTGACATTAACTTACCAATGGAACGTCATATAAAGGCCGGATGTCCTTTTTCCCAGTCTCAACGGCCCATAATCGAATGCAACCATTACCAGCTCCTGATGCAACAAGGTCAGTGCCTCTACAAACACTGATTGAACTGACCCAGGAATATGTTGACGAACAATTATAGCCCTCAATTTTGTGATCGCCATTTTCTACAGTGTAGTATGAAGCAAATTAATCAAACAGGTTAGAAGGCTGTTCAGAGAAGCTAAAATCATGTTTAAAGCTGGGCCAAATATGTTCCTTTCAAGATTCAAAACAATTTCTTACAAGCGTTTAAATAGAGAGAAGATTAAAAGCAAAACAAAAAGGAGAAAAAACTAAAAGAATCTTTAAGAAACAAAAACATAACAAAAGAGGTGTCCAAGTGCTGTGCTACTCAGCCCACTTCAGGCAAGGCTTAGACTAAGATATTTTAAGCTTGATTGTGTTCCAAAGGTACTACTTTATTAACCATATCAGACATTTTGTTTTAACCCTAGTCTAATATATACAGAAAACATTAAAATGATCATTTAAAGTATTTATTTAAGTATTTAGAAGATAAAACATATATGTATTTATATGAATGGACATATTGGACTTAGATTTGATAAGTTTAGGCCTAGATTTCCAAAATACAAATTGGAGTTTGATAAGAACCAATAGACAGAATTGATGATGAGAAACTAAAAAGATGATTAAATTTTCCAATTGATCATATTACCAAAAAAATGTTTACGACTGCATTAGCTCTGGTCAGATTAAAAACAAATCAATTATAATGTGCGCACAAACAGGCACAACTGAGAGAATGTTACTGAGATTCTCAAAGGCCAACATGTAGGCACCTCTAAAGTTTATCAGGTATAAGTTAGCAAGGAATAATATAGGTTTGACCGTTCAATAGCAAAATTACTTTCAGAAACCAATTGACAGCAGACATGCAAACACACGGAAAATTAAAAACACTAATCATTCATCTTATCATAAATAATTACTTCAACATTACACATGGTGAGATTAAAAGTTAACGTAAATATATATAATGCGCAATAATCTAGGATTTAAAAGAATGTCACCTCAAATTCCATGTGGACTACCATCTAGCTAATAAAACATAAGATGCATGATATACAGGTTTAACTGAATATTTTTTTATTACCTAAACCATTATCAGGGATATTTTCACTGCCATTTTGTTCAACATTTTGGCCAGCAGGCAGCAGAGCATGAGCGTTCTTAACAACGTATACAGGCTTCTTTCTTAATACATTCCAAAGTTGAATACTCCCATCATCCGAACCAGATAAGAATTCATCATTGTTAATAAAGCAGCAGCACTCCAAAGATGTTGGTGGAGGACGAAAAACCAATCGAGACTGATCAAGAACCTATTTAGCATGGTTCATTACAGATGGCTGTCAGATATGGAGAAGAAAAGAAACAACATGGTATCCATCTAGACTAAAATTAAATGCCAGAAATTCCAATAGTAGTTCAAGACAGTGCTCAGATTACAAGAGATGGAGGGGCCTTAAGGTGTGAATATTAGAAGATATCCAACAATTTTGATTGCAATGGAAACACAAGTGAAGTTTTAGTGCAAGCATTACTCCACCTCACATATTTATTTTTTCCATAATTATCTACTTGGATAATGAGCTAAAACTTCAAAATCATATTTACCTTAAACAACATCATACATCGATCACGTCCAACAGTCAATACACGTTCTTTCCTTAGGCAATCAAGGGTCAACACTTCACTTTCATGACCACATATTGTATCAATATAAGCTCGGTCCTCCATGTTCCAATACTTGATCGTCCGATCAAACGATCCAGAAAAAAGATCTGTGGTACCTTGCCTAAAACTTAAACATGATAAAGGTTTTTGATGACCTGAGAATGCCTGTTGAGCACAAATGAAAGACCAGATTGAGAAAATTGCACACTTCATTATTGAAAAACAGGTACAGGTTAAGTACTGAGATGCAGTAAATAATATCTAAACTAAAAACAAAAACAGGTAACTTTTTTTTTCTTTTACTAATAGGTTTTTTTTCTTTTAGAAAAAGTATACAATATCATCTAGCATATCTGCCAAGTTTGATAAACAAGGCAGAATTACCTGTAAATGCTCTCTTGTCCGAACATCCCATAGATGAACGTGGCGGTCTAAGCCTCCACTTGCCAAATATCGACCATCCGAACTAACAGCCAATGCTAAAACACTTTTACTATGCTTTTTAGATCGACCTCGTGGATCCTTGGCCCCGTGACTTTTAAGAATATCTTCACTGGGCCACTGGTACCTTACAGTTTTCCCACTTTCTACATCCCACTGTATAATAGTACCGTCTTTGGATGCTGAGAAGCCTTTCAAGTCATCGTCAGAGAGAGCTACAGCGGTAACAGATTGTCGATGCTTGACCAAGACTTTAAATCCATCAGCAGTTTCTGGTTTTTTAATCCTGAGTTGAGTACATTCAATAATTTAACCATCTAAAAGGACAATCTCTCAGTGACAAATCAAAAGTGCTCCTACGATAATTCCATAGTTTAAAGATACAGGAAAAGAGGAATTCTTTTTTACCTGGAAGCTATGACTCTCCTAATCCTGCCACTCTCCTCAAGCTGCTCCTGCTGTAAAATCTTGGCCACAAGCGAATCCCTAGCCTCTTCCTCTTCCGTTTCCTCGTCCCCATCCTTGTCTTCTATCTCCTTCCTTGCTATTGCGCGCATCTTATCCAAAAGCTCAGTCGCCACCCTTTTCCGAATCTCACCAGGGGTCTCCTCAATCTCATCCTCATCCTGCTCTCCGCCGCTCGCGTCGGAACCCCCCAGAATCTTTGCCTCCTCATCAGAACCCCCAGACTCAATGTCATCGTCCTCGTAGGCCATTTTCCGCCGCTTCTTGCTCTCCGTCTCGAAGAAGGGATCGCTTTTCATCGAAAATTTCTTCCCCTTAGGGCCTCCTTTTGGGGCCGATGAGCCCCGCATCTTCTCATTCTTGCTCTTCATGCTTCAACAATCAGTGATGAAGGAAACAAAATCAATAAATAAATGAAGTGTTAATTGAAAATCCCAAAGAGAAGAGAAAGCAAGGGTTTAAGAGTAGGGTTTTTCTGTAAGAAATATGGTTTATGTACTTATGTCAACTGATCTAATACGGGTCGGATTTCGAATGCGATTGAAATTTTGGATAGTAACTGAAGCCGCAAAAGAAAATAATGGGTTAATAGCATATTTGACCCCTAAACTTCCATCGAATACACAATGCGATACCTAAATAAAAAAAGGAAAGTCTAATTTGGTACTGTTCTATTTCTTTGTGTATCTAATCTACCCCAAAGCCTTGACTCCGTTGTGCTCACTTGGCAACATCATGAGTCGCTCAGGGCGGAACCACATAAGATAGAGATTGAGTAGCCTAGCTCCCTCAACTTTAATTATTTTTAGGTAAACAATGCATTAATCACTCAACTACCACTACATTTTGGTTTCATTAAACTAATGGTTAAAATACACAAATATTTCCCCAACCATAGGGTATTACTTTGTTGAGTCTCATGATTATTAAAAGTTACAAAATGATCGGTATTACTTTGTTGAGTCCCCCGACTATTAAAAGTTACAAAATGATTATCCGACTATTCATACGTTCTAAACTCATCTTTTCCATTAAAAAATGATGTTCGTCTGATATGAACGTTAATCTATCAACCGAGATATGATAAAACTTTATCCCAATATCATTTTAATTGTACTTTGTGGATCAAATATTTGTTTACATTATGTTGTCAAACCAATGCTTGAAACATTATGCTAACGAGCCAGTGCTTGAAAGCAACGACAATGGCAGTTAACATCATTAAAATATGATTTTATTATATCTTAGTCACTAGGTCAAAGTCCAATATAGATGGATGTCAATTTTTCAACGGAAAATGAATTTTGGAATACATGAATAGTTGGATGATCTTTTTGTAACTTTTAATAGTCAGGTGACTCGACAAAACAAAGTCTTATAATCAGTGGATCATTTGTAACTTTTAATAGTTATGAGACTCAACAAAGTAATGTCTTACAGTTGTGGGTCCATTTGTATATTTTACCCAAAATTAACATTAGTGTTGACATGTCACCATAAGGTAATGTTACGTCGTAATTGAAAGAAAAAATCATCTATTAATTTTTAATAGCGGAAGACCAAAATGAAACTAAAACATAACATTAGTGATATGTTTGAAAAAGGAAAATAAATGATTGACCAAAACAAAACCAAAGTGATAATTAGATAATTGAGTAGTTTAAAGTTTCTATTGGCTTTAAAGTTAATCAAATTAATCTTAACAAGTTTTCTTATTTAATCATTTTTTAGGTCGTATAAGTTTAACTTGGTCTGGCACACTAGATTCTTTAAGCAAGGTCTAGGGGTTCGAATATTGAATTTGCGAATGGAGCAAACTGAGTTGGTAAAGTCGTCCCATAATGGACTCTGCAAAATCGGATTTGAATTAGTCAATCAATAGATCGGATGGATACCAGTGATTAACTAAAAAAAAGCTCTCCCTTGATGTTTTTGGTATAAATATTTTTTAGGCCCTACAAGCTTTAAAATTAGACAAATTAAACTCTAACTCTCCTCGTTCTTTTGATTTAAATAATAATTCTCAAGTCTGTATAAAATTTACAGTTAAACAAATTGACCTCCTCCGCCCCTAATAACACTTTCTACCTCCACACCGGTGTTGAATATCCCCCAACTTATGCATAAAAAATTGCAATCTTCTGAAAAATGAGCAAATGAGGAGATTTGGAATAGCAAGAAGATTCTAACCAAGAACTTGAAGAGTTTGTAAACTTTCTGATCAACACCAAACATAAATTTAAATGGATGACTTGTTCGAGCGTGGATTTAACAAAAATATCTTAAAAAGAACAGGTACAACAGCAAATATTTTGCATCTATTTTATGTGTTGAATCATAAAAATTTTGACATTTGAACAGAAAAGGTACAAACTTGTTTGTTACATCTCAATACCCCAATTTTGGCCACTTTCTCACCACCTTCATCTTGTAAATGTTAAAAAAAGTAAGAAAAAGGCCACAATGAATGAATATATATAGAGCAGCTAGCTTCTCTTGCGAATTGATTTATCCCTGTAAAAAGCAAAATTTGGGTACTTTGTCATACTGGTTCCTTAATGTGATCTGAGAATGTTCAATCTGTGTTCATGTTGAGTTCGGCAAAGAGGTGCCTGCAGAAGGGAGTTCAGTCATGGTGGTACTTGCTCATCCAATCTGCATCAACCGTAGAGCTGTCAAACCTGATCTAAATACCAAAAACTCACCTAATTTGTTCAAACCTGAACTAGAATCAAATCAATGTGATCACAAAACAATAACTTTGAACCGATCAACTCAAAAACAACTAAATCCAACGAACTAGAAAGAAAATGACTCAACCTAAAATGTTTCAAACCCAAATGACAAAAAACTGATAAAAGAAATCCAAACTCAAATTAAGAATAATTTTATTTTTAAAAAAGTATTAATGTAATTAAAATATAAACATATAAGCAGTCTACTAATATTTAATATTCTTTTTTAAATTGTTTATGTGCTTTTATATACCTTTGAAGATCATATTTCTTAACCATGAGTATCCTTTTAATCATATAAAAACATATGAAATGTGAGCTATTCTCTATCAAATATTTTTTATGATATTGAAAATCAAAATGGAAGATATGCTATGAGTTGACAAGATAGCAATTTTGACTAACCTAATTACAGATAAAAAAAATCTGACCTTATCTACCAAATTCATTCAAGATCCAACTTGATTTGACTTTATATGTCAATGACTTGAACTCGAGAATGATCTAATCCGTTCGAAGGTCAAACCTAAATGACTAGAATCAGAGATTAAAAGAACCGAAAAAATGACCAGGACAGCAGGAACCAATGCAATCTGAACCAAACCCAACCCGACCACTCATTCGACACTGCAAATCAATCATTGAGAGAATTCATTCATATTATGGATATCATCTCAAACACATAAAATGCTTTCCTTCCTAACCCATATTCAACACTTACACCCGAGCCTAAGTAATAAAGCATATAGTAATAAAGTAACACAAGCAAGCCATTCAATATATGATCAATTCATAAAGCCTCTAACAGTTTGCAGTCATCTTAGAAGATGAATACCAAACTGAGCAGTGTATAAATTACAACTGGAAGAAGTGAAATTAGAAAGGATTTGAACTCACATTGCTTTCCATTCACTGCAGGAAGTCCATAATCAGCAAGCAGGTACGAAAGGAAAATTTCATTCCAGATATCGGGGTAAGCCAGGAAGACACCAATGGCTACAATCAGGTACCAATGGTTTGTCACTCCACTCACCCACATGTGCATCTCTCCGGAAGGCTGACATGGAAGTTACTTGCAGAATGGCTATAGGAACAGTCATATTCTTTACCACCTCAAATATAGTCTCCGAGAAAATGCTTTGATCCCTCCCTTCGGTTTCTGACAACGGGTTCTGAGTCACGTTGCAAAACCTGCGGGATTTTTCACTGATGCAGAAACCAAAAATAGTAATGATTTATAGCCTGACGAACATATTTTTCATTTGGAAATTAACCAAATAAGCAAATATTGTAATAGATAACTCAAAAGTCTTTTATCAGAAGAATGAATAATGAAAAAATAATTAGGAAACTGTCAAGCAGATATCAAATTGTGAAACTGTTCAACTTTTTACATATAAACCAATCCAGGGTTGTTTGCTGGAAAAGAGCAAAGGCTGCAATATTTGTGTACGTGTGCATCCCACTGATAAAAGGAGAACAATCCAAAATATGGACAAAAAACATATTTAATTTAGCAACCAAAAGGAGTTCACTTTGGGCGTGTTTTCTGAAAGAGCATCATGGTGCAGCAGAGCCTTCCGCTCAGTCATAGGTGCAAATGTTCTCCAACTCAAAAGGGCTGAGTTCAAATTCCCCTTCCCCCAAAATTATACTTGATCAAAGAGAAACAAAAGGACAGAAGAAGCATCATAGTATTATTGGTTACCTCCAGTGTGATGGCTCGAATGTTCGGAAGAAGACAAGTGTTCTGTTTGCGTCAATCGTGTTCTCAACCCATGATGCCCAAGTACTTAATGCCGTTTTATATGCTGCAGGAATTGAAATTCCAAGCTTTACTGAGTTCCCAACCTGGAAGTAGCAACCACTGCCAAACAAAGACATTTATGAAATTTTCTTATATGGGTATGGAAAAGCATCTAGGAAATGTCATTTCAGCTAGTCATAGTAAGTTCATAGGATAGTAAATGGTAAGAAAAAACACATTTTACAAACAAATATTAGCATACAACAGAGAAGGCCAGTGCGCCCCCACCAGTATCCTCTTTCAGTTTAGAATATTTTGAATTGTACGCTTCAAGCATCAATTTAACTAATCATTCAAATCAACACAGCAAATAGTAACTATACCGACTTTGCGTTTGTCAAAATTATGAAGGTAAAGCATCAATTCCGTAAAGCAAACTGAAGAAACACTAGACGAGGCAGTAAAAAAGGAGAAATGTTTATTGAACAAATTGCAAGAGGGGAAAACTTAGGTGAAAAAAATACATGAAGGTAATCATGAACTATTTCTTAGTTTCCAATCAACATTTTTTATACATTAGTTTCCAACCTTCAAAAAGGGAAAAAGCTGTAAGTTAAGAGTAGAAGGGATTCAAATTGAAAAATAAGAACCATAAGAATTCATGTAGAAATTATGAAACATTCTCGTTAATTATTATCTTATAAAACTTCAGTCTCAAACTCTTCAGTTGAGGCCAAAAGATACATTATCAAATAATTGAATCATTGCAACCTAATAACCCATAAACTATTATTAATTGAAGTAGACTAATCCCAGTTCAAGTAGTATCAATTACCCACTTAAATTATGTAAATTTGGAAAAATGATAATGCAAAAGAGAGTAGACACTGTTTTGTAAGTTCTACCAAAATTATTCGTAAGAACCCAGATACTAGAGGAGATTGCTCTAGAATTAAACATGAAATTAAATATTTTTCATGATATAAGTTTATAGATAGACTGAAGGCAACTTACGTTTCAAAGAGCTTCCCTGGAACCCACCATTGTCCAGTGTTGAATATGAGAACATCTGCATTAATCCACTCATTGCTAATATCATCCAGTTTATCCAACTTAAGGGTTGATCTAACACGCTTTGGTGCATGCCTAGGCATCCAACCATGTTGCACCAAGAAAACTGAGCGAAAGAACTCAATGGTAAAGTTGAAGGAAGCAAACCGAACACCAAGAAATCTGATACGTTTTGTTATCCTATTGCCATTAACTTCATAAACACTCTTCTTATCTTCTACTCCGGTCATGAGCAAGCATATCAATGATTCCCACTGCGTTCTACTCATAGAATCTCCAACAAAAACAATCCTCTTATCTCGAAGCATTTCCAGAACATTGCGAACGTTAAACCTTCGAATATCACAATCTTTTGGTTTCCATCTCCATTTAAGATAATCTTTATCTTTCCTTCCATTTCCCAAGCAATTGAATCCTTGTTCCACAAATGGACAATCTGAAGCATTGTATAAGGGGTAATAGTCATCTATAATCCAGCTTCCATCAAAAAAATCACAAACATTTCTTGAATCATTGAATTTTAACACACCATATCCATGAAATGCTCGAGTCAGACTAGGGAGAACATATATATAACCTCCATTAAGTAGTATAATAAATGAAAGCAAAGCCCCAACGAGAACAAGGACAGGAAACAAGCGTGAAACCCAACCTGAGTTATGATAAATTCTAGGACTATGGAAACACAAAGGTTTAGTGCTTAGAACATTCAAAGCTTTGGGGCTTGAAACATTCAAAATTCTGGGGCCTTCAGCATTCAATGCCCTTCGGTTAAATGATGTACTACTCAAGTTATTCACCATCTCAATCAATTCATAATGCCAGTATATTCAAAGAACCATTCTTGAAACTAGGCAATTTTCTTTTACCATCTTGGCTTACCAACATTCAACAATCTCCCAACCAAAAACAATGAAAAGTTTATAACTTGAAGATCTTCAATAGCCCTTTTCTCTATAAACAACTCCAAACACATTATAGAATCGATCCAATACAAGTACCAGACTAACGATTCACAAAATTTCACCACCAGTTCAGATCAATGTTCGCCCATTCAGCCCACGTAAGTACAAGAGTTTCACAGTAGAGCAAGACACCACGTCAAAGTAAAACATTCAAGTACAAAGAAACCAACACACCTATACATATCTAACATTCAAATTACAGCTTTTACAAAAATTCAGGCAAATCTATCGTCTACATGACAACCCATTTCCCAGCAGTGGCAAATAAAACAAAGTGGGTTTTTCCCAAATCTCAAGAAAAACAAACCCGGATTCACAGAATAAAGAATTTCAACAATCGTGGATGAATTGAAGAGAACGAAGAAGAAGGAAGATCTTACTTAGCTTTCGGATGAAGGCAAAGTTAGATAGAAATATAGCATTCAATGAGTGAGAAATGACAGGATGGAAAGAAATGGGAGAGATGAGAGGGGTGTGAAGCGAAGCAGATCGGAGAGGTGGTTAAGAGAATACGACAGCAATACATAAAAATGACTATACTACAAACATTAGTCACCAACTTATTACATCTATTCGATTAGGAGTTATAAAAATCTTGTTGTGGGGGTAATCCTCGCTCGAATAACTCGTGTTTGTTTCATGTAATTTGTTTTTCGAAAAATATTTTTTCGTGTTTGTTTTACGTAATTTGTTTTTAGGAAAATGTTTTTAGTGTTTGATTGGAGGAAAATTAGTTGATCAACGTAAAACATTTTCCTGATCAACAAAATTTCCTTTGTATTTTCTGAAAAATAATTTATGATCTGATTTTTCGTAAATCATTTTCTGAATTTTTCACTTTAAAAATAAATACTCAAAATAATTTTATTTTATGAATTTATATTAATAAAATTTTTAATATCATTTTAATCAAAATATTAATTATTAAAATATTTAAAATATATTTATTAATATTTCTAATAATATAATATTATATTTTTATTATAATAAAATAATCAATTATATTATAATAATATAAGATAATATATTATATTTTTAATTTAATAATATATAATAAATTATTAATAAAATTTATATTATTAGTAATTTCATAGAAATAATATTATTAAATTATTAATAATGAATAATATTATTTATATATTTAATATCAATATAATAATCTAATAATATTTTAATAAATATATTTAAAATATAATAATTAATATTTTAAAATATAATATAACATTATTACTTTAATAAATAATTAATATAATTTATAATATTTTTATTTGAATAAAATATACCAATATTAATATTTTTATTTATAAAATTATAAAAATAATAATTAATAATTAATAAATTATTTTAATATTTTAAAAATAATAATATTAGGTTTTATGATAAATAATATTATTTATTGTATTTAATATTTGTAATAAATAATTTTTAAAAAACTAATCAACTAGTGAAAAAAATTTAAACAACATCTTCCAAACATCGTAAAACGTTTTCTAGAAATGTAATTCATTTTCTAGAATTTAAATTCCAACAATTCATTTTCCAAAATTCAATTTCTAAAAATTAAATTTAAGCCAAACAAACGAGTTCAATTTACTAATCTACCAACGGAAATATTAAACGCTAAACTTCACAAAGCTCAACGTATAGCGACCATTTGTTGTCTATTTTTTATTCATTTATTATATGACCCAAAATAAAAATAATAATAAAAACAAACAACTAAGTAAATTATTTGCAAGAGAACCCAACTAGACCCATAATCTTAACTATGATAAAACCCTATGATTTCTCTAATACTGCACTAAGTCCACGTCTTTTATTTTATTCTAAAAATTCATCATGCCGCTTCCTGTAGTGGATACTATATACCATATAATTCAAGTATTGGATCCCTAATAAAGGAATGATCCATAATAGAGGTCCAATCATAAGTGGGTGGACATTTGACAAAGTTTTCTTGAAATTTTAATGATATTATGTTTTTTAAAAAATATTTTTTTTTTAAAAAAAACAAAAATTTTAAAATAATGTATCATATGTCATATTTTGAGTTGTTAACATATTTTTTAACGAACAATAAAATTGATCTTAAAATGGTTATAGAAAAAACGATAGATACTTAATTTGATCAGAAAAGTTAAACGCCTAAAGTGAATAAAATATAATTTAGTCATTTATTTTTTAATTAATCCAAAAAATTTAGATTATTTTAAAAAACTTTTATCAAAGATTAATATCTAAAATAATAAAAATAAGAGAAAATAACTTCAGTCACCGAAAATGCCTTATCATATACGATTTTAACCAATTTTTTTTGGATTTGCGAAAATGACCAACAAATTCGTAACGCGATCTCAAATTCGCAACGCGAACTCCAATTTCGCAACACATGTTTCAAAATCGCAACGCGAATAAGTAAATCACGTGAATATGTAAATCGCAACACAGAAGTCAAATTCGCAACGCTAATTACCGATATAGGTAAACAGTACTATCGCAACGCGATTTTCGTTTTCGCAACGCGATTCTTCAAAATCGCAATGTGAATTTCATTTCCGCAACGCTAATTACCTATATCGGTAATTAGCGTTGAGAAATTCGAGTTGCGAATTTGGAGAATTCGCGTTGTGATTTACATATTATCGTTGCAATTTAACTATTCACGTTGCGAATTGGAAAATCGCTACGCGAATTTCGTTTTCGCAACGCTAATTACCTATATCGGTAATTGTCTTTGCGAAATTCAAGTTGCGAATTTGGAGAATTCGCGTTGCGATTTACATATGATCGTTGTGATTTACCTATTCGCAACGCTAATTACCGAAGTAGGTAATTAGCGTTGCGAAATTCAAGTTGCGAAAACAAAATTCGCAATGCGATTCTCCAAAATCGCAACGCGAATTTCGTTTTCGCAACACTAATTACCAATATCGGTAATTAGCGTTGCGAAATTCGAGTTGCGAATTTGGAAAATTTGCGTTGCGATTTACATATTATCGTTGCGATTTTCCAATTACATATTCGCGTTGCGAAATTGGAAAATCGCAAAACGAATTTCATTTTCGCAATGCGATTCTCCAAAATCGCAACGCGAATTTCGTTTTCGCAACGCTAATTACCTATATTGGTAATTAGCGTTACGAAATTCGAGTTGCGAATTTGGAGAATTTGTGTTGTTATTTACATATTATCATTGCGATTTACTTATTCGCGTTGCGAATTACATATTATCGTTGTGATTTAACTATTCACGTTGCAAATTTTACTTTTGCATTGCGATTTTGAATTTCGCGTTGCTGTTTTGACTTTCGAGTTGCGATTTTGACTTTCGCGTTGCGAATTTGATTTTCGCGTTGCGATTTTGGAACCTGTGTTGCGAAATTAGAGTTCGTGTTGCGAATTTGTTGGTCATTTTCGTAAATCCAAAAAAAGTTGGTTAAAATCGTATATTATAAGGCATTTTCAGTCACTGAAATTATTTTCTCTAAAAATAAAGTAATACCGAATTGAAAGTTGAGGAGTCAAACTAATTAAAAAGATAAAAACAGATAAGGCTTTTTACTTTTTTTTGGAGGGGGGAGGGGATGTGACCCTCAAATTATATTTTCACTCATACAAATGTAATATTCTAACTTAGAAAATAAATGTAATGTGATCATTTCATCAATATTTTTTTAACTTTGATTGTTACGGTATTGATATGACAATTTATGATACGGACATGGTAGTTTACGGTATAGAAGTAATAGTCCACATTGGCTGATAATGTGACATATGACATGATAAATAGACTAAATCGATTTTTCGGTCATGTTTGAGAGCTAAATTAATTTTTATATATAGAATTTTAAGGGCTTGTTTTTTTTAAAAAAAAAGTATTTAAATTTTAAATATAAAAATATGCAAATATTAAAAAAATCAATATTAAAAATAAAAAAAATTACTATATATATATATATATTAAAATACTATTAAAAATTTTAAAATAAATAAATATATATCATAAGATATACAATGATAACTTATAAATTATTAAAATATTTTAGAAAGATATGTAACAACCCAACCTGTACCCGACCTGGAAACGAGTCTGAGATGTCATATTGACTTTTCAAAATAATTTCCTTACAAAATAACCAAACATTTGGACTTTTATTAATAAAATACGATCATATACTGTGGAATTATGTTTCATTATAACAAATTTGAAAAAAATACGTTTTCATGAACAGTACTATTCGTATGAACATTGTCATGAACAATGTACCGATGCACAAAACACATCGAATATAAATTGTGTATCGATGCACTGCTACAGTAACTTCGGCAAAACATGTATAAAACTCATAAAAATTTAAGCTTTCATCAGTATAAAATTTCCATTTACATATATACGTTTAAAACATTACAAAACTCAATCATATGATTTTACAAAACCGATTTAGAATATATCAGAGTCAAATCTTTATATACATGCCAACCAATATCAGTATTACAAAATACATACTATTCAACTGTTTCTGATCTGATTTTTGAAAGGAGAAACTGACCTGTCTTGCATAACTTTTATCGATCTTCCTCTTCTCGAAACTTATGTATGAAACAATCGCACACTAAGTCGTTGACATAGTGAGGCATATAAAACATAATTATATGCTAACTGTAACTTCTACAATGCATGAACATTTGATACTACCTTATCATACCAAAGGATATATTCTTCTATGTAGCATATACATACATGCACATATTATGTAACATAACATCATTAACATGCTTATCATTTCTCATTTTATCATCACTAATTTATTTTTATACCATATCAGCATATAATATAAACTCTAAATCACACCAATGCATAAACAATTACCAATCTCATATCATATACAAACACATATTATCTCATATAACAAATACATTTCAATTAGGAATACACCCATCACATATAAATATTGTAAATACTTTTGATATCTTTTATAGGCCCATGACATTACTGAGAACTTAAGGTATTCGAGTACATGAGGTTGTGCACTTATGTTGTCACCCACATTTCGTATAGGGTCCCACTAGGGGCATGTGAACTTTGTCCCGAAAGACCTATGTATTTGTCCTGAAGGACTTCTGTATATATGTCCCGAATGACTGCGTCGACCCTCGACTCTTGGCATGCCAACTATACCTCTAGCTCTCATATCACATAACATGGACATTATTTTTATACTTATCACTTTACATATTCACACATTCATACCACATCATTCTTTCACATAGCTCTTTATCACATTTCATATGATCACATGTTTATTCTCTTCTGCCATGTACCACATGTATGTGTAATCATTGATCTTATCATATGATTTTCTCGTATATTCTCATATCCGATTGCCACGTATTCATATGTCCATAGTTTCATAACTTTTGCATGTAATCCATAAACATATATATTCATCTCTTTTCACATATGTTTCCCATATAACTCATATCATTAATTCGTATCTTACTCTT